ATCGAGGAACGGTGTTCCCGCTAGTGCATGAAGAGCAGCAGTAGGTGCGGTTCTGTATGCTCTGCATACCATTATTAGCTGCTGTCGCTGGATTGTAAGGAGCTTACGCCGCATATTATTGGTTAAATGTGCTCCCCATGCGACTGCTCCGTTAAGTCATAATTTGTTCCGCCACCGCCTTGTACCAGATCCGGAGTCATTTGGGTGATAGTCCCTATCTCACTGCTGTCATGCGCCTCAGTTTGTTGGTCAGGTTGCTGATTCGTTGTTTTAGCATTGATATATGCGGAAGCCACGAAAGTCTCTGATCAATGACTATGCCCAGGTATTTGAGTTCTGGGGCATACTTCATTCTGCTGTCTAGTAGACGGAGGCAAGGATTCCGTCTCAGTGGACGACCGTGCCCTTGCGTTTTTGACACTGACAGCTTTTGCGCTGCCTTGTCTACTGTACAAAAATATTACGGCACTCCTGTGTTTTGTTCTCCAGGGTTTGCTAAGACCTGACACTGTCAATAGGAAATCGGCCGCATATGCTATTACCGTAACTCATTCCATGTTCTCATAGAGTGCAAATACTGTATTGGCCCCTAAGTTCCATAAAATTGGCACAAGGCCCTAACCTTGTGGGAATCCTTTTGTGATGGTCTTTGTTACTACATCACTATCCGTGGTGACTTGGACATGCCAGTTTTCTAGGTAGCTCTTCAGCAGGTGCCGAACTGAGGCGAGACAGTGATGGTAGTTCAATTCGGCAATAATATCTGACCATCATAGCTAATCGAAAGCTCCTTTGATATCCAGAGTAACGATCGTTGTATGGTAGTCCTAAGCTTTTTTTGCGAGTAACAGTGTCTAGTAACTTCTGCATTACGTGATCTGTGAAAAAATCCAGCTTGAAAGCCATTTTGTAAGGAATGGATACCCTGATATTGATTTAGGTGATACCAGAGTCCGCCTAGGATGACCCTTTCCAAATGTTTTTCCAAAGCTGGTAAAAGGTAGATCGGTTTATAAGAGGACGGGCTGATAGGGTCTTTGCTCTGCTTGTGAAATAAAGCCACTTCCGCAATTTTCGTGCTTGTAGCCGCCAGCAGGCTGTTAGATAGGCAATGATGAGGTACGGATGTTTGTTGAAAATTACTTTGATCATTATACTGTCCACCCCGTTGGGACTGGGAGCATTCCTAGGAGCCATCATTCTTACTATTTTTCTAACCTCTGCTACCGCTGGAGATGGTTCGCTGTCTTGCTGACCTTGTTTATTCTAATTAGCAAAGTTTGGTGCGTAACTTGCGGTGTGCTGCTTGATCATTTTCTTCACCATCTTCCTAGCAGATAATTAACAAGGATGTGGTACACAACTTCTTCATTGAAGGACCCAGTGTGGACCACGTTGCGTGAAAGGTGTTGGTGTATTTAATTATGGCAAAGCACACTAGGGCTATCTGCCTAAGGGGAGGGATGCCTTTCGTGGAGGACTTTCTAAGGAAAACTGGCTCGTATACACGTTACACATGGGGAAAGCCACGAAAACGCCCATGCAGCCATCCCGTTCACGGGATTCGAACCTCGGGACCGAACTACCAGTGTTCAGCGACTTTACCGCTCGGCCGCTGGTGGGCCCCGTTGCGTAAAAGAGTAGTTGGTCTAACCCTATTTGCCGCAATCTTGTATGTCTTGTCAAATAGTTTAATCTGATGTTAATAAAGCATATTAATGAAAGATTAATAACTAAGTATTGTAACCATTTAATGCAGAAAATCATAGGCGTACTTATATTGAACCATGAACTTAGATACAAGCTCAGTTTATTGCAATAACGCCAGAAACAGAAATTGCAGCCGCTTAAACACTGATTCGCTATACGACATAAACTAGGCAGGTAAGAAGTCAAAAAATGTTGCAAATAGATTTGATAATGATGAGTTATTTATAAAATACTGTATATGATATACGTCGACTGAAGCCAATATATAAAACATATTATGCTGAAAAAGACAAGACTAATAATACAAAGCTAACTACCTATGGTTCTCGGAAATACACTATGGCCATTAAATTTGCTACTGTTCTTTATAATCCACACACCATGAAGGGTGCATGAAGGGTGCTGATTCGTTGTTTTAGCATTGATATATGCGGAAGCCACGAAAGTCTCTGATTAATGACTATGCCCAGGTATTTGAGTTCTGGGGCATACTTCATTCTGCTGTCTAGTAGACGAAGGCAAGGATTCCGTGCCAGTGGACGACCGTGCCCTAGCGTTTTTGACACTGACAGCTTTTGTGCTGCCTTGTCTACTGTACAAAGATATTATGGCACTCCTGTGTTTTGTTCTCCAGGGTTTGCTAAGACCTGACACTGTCAATAGGAAATCGGACGCATATGCTATTACCGTAACTCATTCCATGTTCTCATAGAGTGCAAATACTGTATTGGCCAAGTTCCATAAAATTGGTACAAGGCCCTAACCTTGTGGGAATCCTTTTGTGATGGTCTTTGTTACAACATCACTATCCGTGGTGACTTGGACATGCCAGTTTTCTAGGTAGCTCTTCAGCAGGTGCAGGTGTTAGTAAGAGAATGAAATTCATTGGACATATACCTCATATTGTAAGGGACAAGTGATTAAAATTGCAGAAAATTAGGATATCTATATCCTGAGAAATCAGTATGCAGAGCAACCACCTCTGCCTGTAATAACAGTATTTAATCGCCTGGGCCATGGAGTATAGCATTTACGGGGATCGCAGTTTATGCAGATTCATCGCTATGGTATGGTTCATTGACAGTAGTTAATGGTAATTGATGACGTGGCAATCGCTTGGCAACCACTGATCATATGTCTCTAGTTGGTGTCAGATCAGCAGAATATACAGGCCGGGACAGTAGTTTGAATTGAGGAAGATAAGGACAATACGGGCCACATGCGGTTGTGCACTGGCCTGCTGAAACAAAGCGTTAAGAAGGCCTCGAAGATAGGGTATAGAACCACGGGCCTTAACACGTCAGGAATATAACGGCTGCTATTGAAAGTGCCAGGAATGCAAAAAACAAGAAGCGATCGAGACGTTTATCCAGTGGCATCCTTACCATCACTGATCGTATATGCTGATGGGCCAGTATGATGATATCCAGGGCAAACTAGCAATGTGTGTTCTCTACGACGCCGCCAAGCACGAATGTGGCCATCATGGTGCTGCGTAAAGAACCAGAATAACACATAATGTCTGTAATCATTATGTGACGCAATTAATCACACCATTTAATGCTCTCCTATGTGAGACGAAGCGTTAAGGGTAACCGAATCAATGGTCACCGTGCTGACAGTCCATGCTGCTGCAAACGTCGTTGAACTGTTCAAGCAGAGATTTGTCTTGCAGACTCCATTTCTAGACTCAGGGTTCGTGACGTAGCTGCACGATGCCTTGTAGACATGCAGATAAGATGTCTCTCTTCTCGTCTGTTAGTGATAGTGGCTGCTGAGATTCAGCACGGCGTGCGTTCCATATGACACCGATTCCATATTCTACGGACAGTCATGAAATCTCTACCGACACAGGCAGTAATATTACGGTACGATAAACCGCAGTCCCGGTAGGCTATAATTCTTCCTCGATCAAAGTCAGACATATGCTGATAGACACTCTTTCTCATACGAGGCATTACAATAACTTTCTTAACCGAAAACAACGTTAAAAAATGTAAATTAAGTGTGAGAAAATTGCTGTCAAATCTCTGGTTTCATACACATTGTAGGTGTCCCTACTACCGCCTGCTTTGCATGAATACGCTTAAAATCTAATCGTTTGCACATCAGAGCATGTTCTATTTGACATGCAAGTTTCACGTGTGTAGCATCCCGCCTTTCTGGTGTAGAAATTTTAATGGCTAATAATGTAACAGGTTCACAAGTAAAACAAGATTTAGAACCGAAACTTCGTAAGAATTTAATTTTAATATGCACAATAATTAAATTTGATACGGAAAGTAGATAATTCGATTGGCGCTTTAATAAATATCTGATAATCTTTATCTGATTAAGAAGTGATTGTCTTTGAGAATATTATTGTTTCTAATACTAATGTTTATTTATGGTCTCAGAAATGGTCTTTTGGAAAGACGCTCGTCTGAGATGACCGTCAAAATTTCATAGTACATTATTTAATACGTTTTGAAATAAGCAAACGAATATAGTATGTATGGAAAGCTTTCTTTCAAAACTTTTTTGGTTAAAATTTATTAATTACTATTTTAAAAATGTCAGTATACTTTTATGAAAAAAAAATTAAAAACATTACTAGCATAACTTTTTGTATATACTATTCATTTTCTCGGTTTTCCTATTTAATATGGAGTTTTATTTGTAGTCTTAATTGTAAAAATTTAAATGCAATAAATTTTCTGACGGGCATATTTATACGTTGTATCAATATAACTTCGAGATAAATTTTAAAGAAAAAAAGCGTTCTTTCTGCTCTCCTTTTCAGTGTACTATATGTTTTCAGCTAAATGCGGATAAAATTTATAAACAGACTTCTTTTTAATTATTTGATTTCTCTCGCAATCATCTTCGCATGTTAGTAAACTGCGCATTCAGATTGTTCTCAGCTAATAAATTTTTTATATTTAAATTCGTCACATTCAAACATCACGCTTAATTTCTCAATTTGCATTTTAGTATTCATAGATATTTATCATCTTCCTCAAAAAACATAAAACTACCCTTTTCTTCATAACATATGAATAATTCTAATGACCAGTTTCTTCATAAAGCTTTGTGAGACGTCAGAATTTATATTCTGAAACCATTTACCATTATTTCGAAAATGTCAACGTGATACGAATTTTCACATCCGCTAAGTAAAATGTTGAATTAAGATTTGTATCTTTCAGTTCTCGAGGAATGACAATGAAAATTTTGGTAGTATGCACGTCTGCAGGAAAAATAAAAATTGCTTATTTATCAACGAATACATTTTATTTATACAAAAAATCTTTCGGATGGAAAAAAGTTATCGAATCCAAGGGCACTTAATGAATATAAAAGGCTACGCGAAAACTTCAGAAATATACTTATGCGTCACCTGAATAACAAAGTATAATCATCTCCTTTTGAAACTTAGCAACATTACTGTGCACAATGAAGATTTTGGTGAGTAAATATTATTCTTTGTAAAACATAAACATTCATTTAATGAGCAATTGTCTTTCTCGTTTGAAATTCATATTCATAGATTTATAAACCTTAATTTTGCCTTAAATTCTATTCCATTTTCCCTTCACTAGACCCTAACACTCTTCCGAAGGGAATTCATGCTCATTAGAAGCAGAATGGAGTTTAGTTTAGATTTGGGAAACACAGGTAGTTGTTATTTTGAGGAACATTCCGAAGAAAATCAGTTGTTTTTCCTATATGGTGGAATTACCTCATATTTATATTACATGTTGGAAAGATCATGTAAACATCCTCAAAGTTAACATGTTCTGTCGAGCGCAAAATTCGAGATGAAAATATAGAACGACAGTTTCTTTCTTTTTTCACTTCCTTGTACGAAGTAAAAGAAGTATCGTAATAGCGAAAAATTTGGGCTTTCATATTTTTAACGAAAATATCCATTTTTATCTCACTCGAATACATTAAAACGAATTTTTGCTTGGCATCTATACGTACGAACAAAACAGATGACTCTTTCTACCAAAATGGATTCTAAAATTCAGAAGAGATTTTTTTCGTGAATTTTGTACTTACGTACGTATGTATGTATCTCGCATAGCTCAAAAACGAGGAACTTCAGAACGTTCAATATTGCCGTATGGGACTGTAATAACAAGCCGTTATGCATCTCCCTTTTTTATTGCATTCGGTCGTATCAAACGTATATACCAATCTGTTACCCGTCTCGTTAAGCTTAACTTTTTTATTCTTATGTTGGTAAACTGTGCATTTCTTGCTTTAATTGAATTATGTTGTTCTTATGTTCCGATTAAGTTTTTATAGCTATATATAGTTAATCTGCATGCAATAGTTGTGGAATTATCAAAAATTTAAAAGTTTAAATGGGGCTAAGCAATCCAGGCCGCCATTTGTTTACATTACAAATTCTTAGTATACTAGTGAATTAAGTTAATTTGTGCACCAACTTCAGCGTTTTCTTGCTAAGTGGGACCGCAAGTAAACTTTCAATTTTTTGCACCGAAAAATCTGTCTTCGTGCCTGCTGGTCGAATTGCTTGTTTTTGAGTAAAAACTTTACATTTAATTGTAAAAATTGTTTTTTAACTGTTTTTAACCGCATTTGGCATTTTATGTTTTTCTGTATTTTACAGTTTTTAATGAAAATGATTTGAGTTTTTAATGTATTTTTCCCTTTCTGCAAAGTGAGAACGGAATTAATTGAATGAAAAATATATTTCTAATGAAATTTCAGGAAATAAGTGTAAATGGAATGCAGCAAAAAAATGTGTATAATTTAATAGGCCGTACAAGGAAGTCATGTGGTGTCTAGCCGTCGGATATTTTTTACTTCAATTTAAAAAAAAAAAAAAATAGAAGAAGTTTCACTATTTTAAACTATATATGCTTCGATCATAATTTAATATAAAAATTTCATAGAAAAATGAAATGATTCAGCAAAATCAACAATTTTAAGATGCAAATTAGTTGATCCTAAAACGTAACTGCTTCTACTGTGTAACTTTTTTAATGACGTGTTTGCGAAGAACGTAAATTGCTGCGAAATCTGAATTGAATAGCTGACTAATCTGAGGAATATTCCAAAACATAATGAAATAAATTGAATATGTTATAGTGCACATACTATACATAGCTATGTGTAATTCTAACCGTATACATCTTCCAGTAATTTGGAGAAATGGAAGGTAATATAGATTTCTCGGTGACCGGGAGTAAAACTGTATAAGACCAGAGAGTGCATCAGTTTTTCAGATTTAGCTTCGGAGCTTTAGATGCGTTTTGCATTTAATATATACAATAATTGCATTTTATGTTTTTAGTAATTTGAAGTAATAACTACTAATTGTGCTGTGTCATACTGAGAAGAGCTGCGCGAGAACATTGTGGAAAGTTCCAAAACTGTAAAATATTTCTATCGGAAAAATAAGTTTTATCAAACAGCATCGGTTCTGCGTACATTCAGTCTATTATGAACCCATACGCACGCAACAATATAAAACATTTTTTTTTCTAATGTCAAATATTTAACAACATAAATTGCTTTAGTTCAAGAAAACTGATCAGAAATATTCGAATCCTTATTTATTTTATAGTAAAATAATTTATTTGAATAAAATTTAAAGAAAGTTTTCTTTTTAAGATAAAATTTTAAAAAACAAATTATTAAAACTTTTATAACTGCACTTTGCAAGCAAGAAGCAACATGAAAAGCAGATTACTTAGTTTTAGATAGTAGTTTCTTTCAAAATCTCACGCTTAGAAACTAGTTAATTTTTGTGATAAATTGCCACGTAATTAGAATGTAAAAGATGACCTTAAAATGCTCTTTTGAAACATTTATCTGTCTTATATGTTAAATACTTATATTAATGTGCCTCTTTCTCACCCACTTATGCTAAGATCAAACGTTAAAAGAAAACATTTACTTGCTTTTATCTCAAAATATATTTATTTAGATATATCTCGCTTATAAAAACTCTCCAGCATATGAAGCTAATATATACAAGACCAGTTTAGCTACAAACAGTTTCATTTACCTATAAGGTACCATCGAACATGAAATAGCATCTTATATTCGGAATAAAATGGCAATTTGAATTTGACATGAAAAATGTATAAAAGAATACTAAAGCAATGCATTTACAGTTGGAATATATCCAAAACACTTTTTTGCAGCTGTGTTGAAGTTAAATACCTTCGAACCTTGAAGATGATAATATGATTACGATGTTTTGTAAGAACAAAATTGTATATTACTCATAACATTTAAGCAAATGATGTATTGCTTTTAACTCCAGAGATAGAGCAAATACATTCTCCCTAATTTTAGAAATGTTTTTCTGTAACCTGTATGATTTTGTTTCAATTTAGCCTATAATTTAAAGTATTAATTAAGCCTGCCTTATTGATTTTTAATTTCTAAGCTACATTTCTTACAATGCATCAAATTTTGCCCATTAATGTAATTGTAACTATTGTAACTAGTATAATTTTATTGTAATACTGTTTTTTTAATGTAAATGTAACCTTCCTCTATTTTGGTCTTATTGTGAGCAGTACTTTGTAGTACCAGCTTTTAGGATAAGAACTTTGTGAGCTCGATTCCTAAAAATACCAGTTTAAACGACACGTTTTAGGGCTCTAAGTGTGTAGAAGTTTGAATCAGTGTCCTCCAAACTCTACTAGACTATATGAGTTATTGCTTCAGTTTGAATTCAGATGACAAATTCCTAGGATGGATAAAATAAAATTTTTATTAACTCCCTAAAACTTAACAAAAGGCACCACTTATGCTTAAAAACAAAAATTCTGCCAGCAGCGGTTACTTAAAATAGCAGAAGTTGAAATTTAGTTTTAAATCATTTACGCAGGAACTACAGAAAATGCTCTACTAGAACTAACTGAAATAATTATTGGTGCGGTTTTAACGTCGGCTAGGAAAAAGGCGAAAACCGAAATAATCTTTAGCAGAACTGCTATTAGGACGTTATCTGCAAGCGAGGCTGTCAAAGCTCTAACTCTAAAACATAAAACTTATGTGGCACTATTATATTTGGCTTCCAGTTCTTCTAAACAGAATAGCAGCATAGTTTCCATGAATTTTCGCATGTATAAAATGAATGAGATACACTCTTACAAAGGTTATTCCTCAATTAGCAGAACAGCCCCTGCTTACTTTTCTGTAATTATAATCAACCATAGATTTAACCTGAGTTAGAAAAGAAGAAATTAAAGAAATTAGGTTTTTGTAATATTGGAAGGTAAATAATTTGTAAATAATCAGATTTGTAAATAAACACTAGTTTTATTGAAATTATGGGTATATTCTCCTCTTGTGTCAAGCTGTAAGCGTTCAAAAATTTCAATTTTCAATCATTTTACTTCTTTTTGTTGCCAGGCTTGTGCTGCCAGAAAACTTAAGTTACATTTTACTTGCTTATCAATACTGAAATTTGCATTGCATTAACTTCCTAAGTGAGCCAGACAATCAAAACTTTACGTAAATAAAAAATTTCAATTTTTTTAAGATTATCATTTTTTATTTATAATCATTCACTTGATTCTTCTTTTTTTTTTTTTTTTTTTTTTTTTTTTCAGATCACGGTCATTTTTTTCGCTTTAGTGGCTTGCGCCTGCGCATATACAAGCTACTTTCCTTCCTCTTTCATCAGCAGATATGCTTATCCCTACACCTTCAATTATCCACCAACTTATAATTTCGGATATCCTGCTCATTACGTACACAATAGCCGGCCCAGTTTTTACAACAAGTATTCCATATATTGACGAAATTGAGAAGTCTTTCTGAATCAACAAAGTAAGATTGTTTGATTTATTTAAAATTGCTTATAACGCTCAACAAAATTCGAAGACAACAGATTATGTTAAATAACATCATATATCATCAATTCCTTTTTTGCGAAAACAACGAGCTTGAAATTGTTATATATACTATATATATAATAAAAAGAAAAATAAAGGCTTTGAAAGTATACATTGCTTTAAAATAACAATTGTCAATTTATAGATAGTTTTGTTTCCTTGTATTAAAAAATAGACAAACATTTATGGAAAAAACATCAGTAATAAAATGTAGGACTTACTGTATTATCTTGAATTGTATTTAAAGTACCATAGAGTCCTAAATGCTTTTAGCTCCAAATACCTATCCTAAAAGTTTCTCGAATCTTTCATGTAAGAAGTAAAGTCAGTAATAAAATAAAATTAAACTTGTGCTTATTATTGTAAGCTTTTATTTAAACAAAATATGAATTCTGTGTTAAATGAAAATGAAATTCAAGAATACTGTTTTTAAAAGCTAATATAAAATGTAAGGTTCTTTTATGTTAATTCACCAGTTATTTTATGTTTTGGTCTTTACTGTCATTTCTCCCTTCCGTTTCCACGCCAGAATGCAAAGTAGTTCACGACTATTTAAGGTGAGGTTTCTAGATTGTAAAATACACCAGTGTTCTGCCTCTAGAGGTAATGTTACTAGGTTGCTGTATCAGATAAAATTTGTATTCTTCGGCCTTGCATTATAACTGCCTATACTGAATCTCGAAGCCGGTTAGATAAGTAAGCCAACTTCGTATTAAATTGATTCATGTAGCCTTCGACAACTAGCTTGTTAATTAAAATTTTATGTTTGACTGACTGTTGTCTAAGTTACCTCGTCGCAAGTGCTTGGCTGATTGGTAAGCATCAGTTGTGCCTTCTTTTCTTAGTTTCACATAAAAGGGTCTTTTACACTCTTCTCAAATTTCATTTATTATTTTAAATCTAGCGATAATTCGCTTAACGTTTACAAAGAGTTTGAACCCTACATCATTGCAAAACATACTAAACTTTGTAACATTTTAAAAAGAGACGAATGAAATTTAATAAACGAAGTATTTAATTAAAGCCTCTGAATGTTAAAGTTCATTTTGTAAAATAATTTTGTTAAAGAGTATTTGAATTAACTACATAGATTTTTTTTTGCATTTTCCAAGGTCTTTTTAAATCTAAAGAGGCATAGAGAGAGGAGTTTTTACTTCTCCCATTTACTCGAATTTGATTAAATTTCTTCACCTTGACATTCAGACAACTGGATATATATAACATTGCATTAATACCTGTCAGGGGCCACCGCAGCGATTTGAAAGAGAGAAAGTTCAAGCGTTAATACAGATAGACACTAGTATGAAACAACAAATTCTCTTCAGAAAATTAAGAGTGTGGTACCCAGGACTGCACCGAAATGATATTGGCGCTTTATATCCATTATAATGGCAACAACTTCGCGCTTCATTTAATGAGCGCTTATGTTGGATATCAGTAACACATATTTCTGACGTTCTGAATTAAAATTTTAATCCTTTTAAATGGATTCAAAAGATGAAAAAATCACAACAATTAGAGTTTCTGGAAAGCTATAATTACAGGGCATATGTGCTGTGTCAATAAATTGAGATTTTTCAGAAGTGCTTGAGGTATTCCTTTTTAAGATATTCCATTGTCTGGACTTTCTGGAACTATAACTATTATACACGCGTGCTGTATCAATAAACTGAGATTATTCAGAAGCCCTTGAGGTACTTCTCCCTTGAGTTTATGGAGCTATACCTATTGGATATGTGTTCTGTGTCAATAAACTGAGATTATTCAGAAGTAATTGAGGTATTAGGTATTCAACTGTCGCCGAAGAGCATGTTTCACTTTAGTAGGATTCTAAGAAATGGTTGACGGTTGGCAGCTCGTCACATCCAAAGTATGTTTAATCGTATTAAAGTCTGGCATGCACACATCTATTCGTTCATATGCATATATTACAGTATATCTCTAACCATACGTGGTTTTTGTAAATACACATTATCTTGCATAAGAAATAAAGTATTTCTTATTGCAGTAGCATAAGGTGCACAAATGAGCTTTGAATTTCTCTTTATATCTTACATGCATCTGTGAACTCTGTTTACAACAGTGAATCTTTGATTTTATAGAAATCAATACCGCTATCAGAACTTCCATTCCTCAAAAGCAAAACTGTGCCTTTTTTACAGAGGCCATTTGTTGTAGGAAAGAGTTATCGAGGGTCTTTCTCACAATAAACAAGATTTTGAAGATTATGATATCGTAAGTGGAATCTTGATTTATCTCAGAACAAAACATTTTGTCTAGCCGAACATCTTTGTATCTAACAGTGCAAATATCTTCAAGAATTTCGTAAAGGTTTCATTAACACAGGGCAAATAAGTGACTTCTGAAGCTATGATACTATCATAAAAATGAAGTAGAGGACAGCCAATCTATTTTGAAGATTCCTATTCCAGTAATGTGTCACTCATTTTGTTGCCTACCTTAATGAGCAGTTTGGATTAAATCATGATCTTTCGTTTGTATGTTTACTAGTCAGCTATATGGATTGAAGGACAATTCCTGCATTCCGGAATAGATCCTAATCTATTGACACTGTGAAACTCGAAACTGCTGTCTATGTTTTTTTACATTGGAAACTTGCAATAACCTGCTAAGTTTCACTGGGTGTTCAATCTTCTCCACATTACCCACCAAGCTAACAAAATCTGGTAAATTATACTGATCAAATATGGTTAATCATTCTAAGCGGGTGCTATTTTTTCACTTTCTTTAAATTTAGCACCATGCTCTGAAGGTAAATAACCTATAATGAATTAACAACTGAAAAGGCGTCGTTAACGCAAATCTGCATATTTATTGCAAATTTTTACAATGGTGATCAATCAGCAAGTATGTCTGAATTTCCTAAATATATTGTGCAGTTTTGTATTTAAAATTCATCATCACCTAATTTTGTTGAGCGATGTATGTTCTTTATTTTACAGTGTCAGTTTGTGTTTAAATTGAATGTCGGATGATGTGGTATAATTTAATTAAGTTTTGGAAAAATTTGCCGAACCGTTACAAGGATAAATGCATTAATTCCGTAATAACATTACGTAACATGACGTGACCTAACGGCTCAAAAATCTGAAAGGCTAAAGTCGTTATAATATCAGAATACGCTTTTCACGATAAAAAAAAACGTGAAATTACTTTTTATTTGCTAAACTCATAACATATTTTTATTTTGATTAAAAGGAAAGAATGAAGACTTAACCTCACTGTAAATATAAGCTTATTTTTATTTTTACTCTAGTAAAACTTAAAAAAAGATTTTTTTGTTTGTTTGTTTTTTGTTGTAGTTAATATGTATAGTGTCGGACAACATATATTTATTAAACATTCACCTCAATAACTTTCTAAAAAATTTTTACTTTACTGTATGCAACGGAATTTTCTGATTTGTAAAATATATTTTTATATGAAATATTTTCTGATTGACAGGGTATATTCGAATGTGGATTAACTACTTCTCAAAATTTTCTCAAACAGGTAAACCAACTGAAATGAAAAAAAGAAATGAAAATGATTTGTCTAGATTTTTGGTTAAATTATGGAGATCAGGATTAAATACTTCTTGGAATTTTCTTAAATAGGTTGTAGTGTCGTCTGGCCCCAACTTGTCAGCAAGTGTGGTAGTGACTGCTATGAAGTTTGAATTTACACAGACACGTAAAGAGGGTTTAAAGCCCTTTTTATTCAACTTTTAAAATAACAGCTGCGTCCCACTTGACGCTCACAAACTACGCCGACCCGGCGGTTTAACTGAAACAGAATGTAAAACTGAAAAATAATGACTAGATGAATAAATAACGAGATCACTAACCACGAGGCTCTGAGATCTTAAAATAACCTAACCGTGTTCTACAATACCGCTGAGCTTCAGCGAGCTTACTAATTAAGCAGTTGAAAGATTCAGCAAAACCTGCCGAGATAGGCGCACAGGCCGAAACGCGCGGTTCTTAAATTCCTACCTAGCAACCTTCACGTTTGCGATTCAAGAAGCCCACCTACAATCTCGTTTTCCTTCTATTAGTAAGTAACTCAACTTACTTCTGCTAAATTTTAATATACTGCGCGCTCTACTACAATTTACATACTCTAGCATTGTCAATTCTAGGGGAGAGTAAAGGCATGACAGAAAAGATAGCTTAAAATAAATGTTAGTTAAAATAAATATAAACCCTACAAGGTATTGCAACCCAAACGAAATAAAGAACTGAGAGTGATCTGTATAAATTTGCGGTTTTCAAAATTTGAGCTTTGATCTGTGTTCTTTAATGTTCTCTTTTATTTTAGACTCTAGAAATGTTTACATTCGAGATTTTCTTGTTTTAGCATCACTAACTACCACAGCTGTGATCGTTTATGCCTACAAGTACAAATCCGCGAATTATGAAACTCAAAAGCTAATTCAGTCTTACCAGTGTAAACTTAAAACTTTATTGAACTGAATTAATAATCAATTTTTGTGTAATTAAATTAAATTTATATTGTATATATTGCAAAAATAAAACTGGAAGTTTAACAATACATTTCTACAAAATCTTTCCGGTAAAATACAGAAAAGTCTAGCGTGATGAATTACAATTTTATGTATACATATAAGCAAAAGGCATAGCGAATAAAACTAACAATCATTTCTCTGATCTCTATGAGGCAGTTTCTAAACTGACAAAAATAGTTATTATTTTAAGTGGCACAGAAATTATCATATAAAATAGCGTGAAATTTATTATTTAATAGCCATCCTCCGACGCTGTTTTACCAGATACATTTCAAGCTATAAAATCAATATTAATCTTAGGTTGTATTCGTTTCGTAATTTTTCAGTGTTTAAAACCACGTATGTGCTATAGATATAGAAATGCTATAGATATAGTATATATATTTCTTTTATGTTCTGTATTTTAAGAATTGTATATGAGGGAATATATTATTTACCTATAAAACGGCGAAATCATTAAGCATAAATAAGGAATTCATATTTGTTATTGATTCAAAATATCTTTCTTTTCAAATAGGCTTCAAAGACATGCTTTCCCAGATGTTACTGGTCCAGCTGCTGTGAAATTTCGAGTCAGAAATTGTAATTTTATTATTAAATAAATACTTTTGTTTGTATTGCTGTTTATGTATTTTATTCTTTAATGCTACAAGATTTACATCCTTTCAGTTATCGTCGTTTCTTTCATAAAAAGACATTTTTGGTGAAGTTTATGAGGAATTTTCTACTTTTTCACGGTATGATTTTGTGATGTAATTAGAAGCACGTTCAGCTAGCAATGAGGAATCAGTAGTTCAAACGCAGTCGAGAACAATACTGATTCTTCGCGTTTCTCGACTTCAAAAAAGCGTTAATAATATATATATAATAATATATAAATATATATAAACTCACTTTAATTTCAGCTACCGTAGAATTGCTATATGCTATAAAATTTCTATGAACTTACCATCACTTTATTATTAAATAAATAAATATTTATACTTAGAAATTCTAAATTAGACTTCTGATAACCATTTTAAATAACAGTTAGATCTACATTCAAAATGCTATAGGTATCTGAAAAATGTTAGGTCGAAATTCTTAAAAAATCGAGATCTTAAAGATCTTCATTATTTCAGTAGCTTCTGCGTACTTTCTTTCTAATAAAATATAAGACTTTTTAAGACGGCAGCTGCACACTTTATTTCCTAAGTTATTGGTTCAAGACATACGTTTCCTTTACAAAGTTTGTCAAAATAAAACAGAAGATTCAATGAAAACACTTAATTAACATTATAAGTACTAAAAGAATCCTGTAAATGCGTAATGTAAGATTTAGGGGTACTTATCATCAGTTTCTCAGTTATTAGCTCAGAGTGACTTTGGAGTATTGAGATATCTATGAGAGCTTTGCCTTTTAGCATTCGGTAAATTGCATTGCGTTGTGTTTAACGTTTTAGTAGTTTGGAGTGAACTATTGATTGTGCTGTGGTACTGAGAAAAGCTGTAAGAGGTCTTTTGTGGAAGGTTCCAGAACTGTAAAGTGTTTCTTTTGGTAAAAAAAATAAAAAATAAAAATAAATAAATAAATAAAAATAATAAATAAAAAATAATAAATAATAAATAATAAATAAAATATCAAGCCACCATCGGTTCTGTGTGCACTGAAGCCATTACTAATTCCGTACTTGCATTCAGTTACTAATCCATACTTGCATTCCCCCTTATTGTGCAGTACACAAATTACATATTTAAAATCCCATTCTGGATATAAATTTGAAATTAAATACCTGTTTTGTTTTATTATTATTTATCTTTTTAATGTACAGCTTATAAGTCGTTTACAAGTTAATGAAAACCCTATGTCCGCTCTGCAGATCCAGAAATTTGCCAAAGATAATTTCCAATGATGTTGGCACTGAAAAGTGAAGACTGTCCTAAAATACTAAAATAAGGGTATGAAAAGTAAGCCTGCTTTAGAATACCAGTGTTTAGTAGGAATAATAATAATTATAATCACAATAATAATAAATCATGTTACTCTTATAGAGATACACACAGAACACACACGACCTGTGACTTGCCATTTGACCATCGCTGCTTTAAACCGTGTTGCCAAAAAGGGCTTTTAAGCATCAGAGCAATAAATACATAAGTAAACTTATCTTCATTATTTGATTTCATCTTCTGTTATCGAAAGAAAGTTCCTTATGTATTTGTAGAATCAAAGATTTTATATGAAATGCTTAATTTAGATATTAATGCTCAGAGACATTCAAAATGGAGTGATATACAATCATAATTTAATTGTATATTATTATTTGCAAACTAAGTTAATAAAGTGATTTATTTAGAAAAAAATATGATAATGATAAGTAAGATATTTATAGTAGCATAACTATATTTTCGGCAGAGTAAGCCTTCTCTCAGTCAAATTCATATGATCTCATTTTTAGCACTATACATCAGAAAATACACAGCAGAATGAAGATTGTCTAAATAGCTGAATTTACCAGAAACGGTATTTATGCACTATAGGATTAAAGAAAAATGCTAACTGCGTTAATAAAAATTATATTTGCTTTTAAAAATGTAACGGAAGATAATTTCAGTTTTTCAATGTTGCATATAAAAATTATTTTAGTAATGTTGTTTAAACACATATAATTTATTAGAATTTTCTTTAGAGAGGCATACAAATTTTATTTAATAATGCAACGAATCATATCATTTGTAACAAATGGCATAAAATGTAAAATATTTTATTACAGTTTTTTACGTTTATCATTTCCTTTTAAAGATATCATGAAAAGAGTTTAATATAGCATATAAAACAAAACGCACCAGTCCATCTAGTTTATTATGTAAATAACAGAATACAAAAAAACAAATAAATAACGATTAGTAATGTGAATTAACCAAGCGCAACGTTTTTCAAATTCCATCTAAAGATGGCGCCACTAATGATAGTGTAAAGCTGGAAAAAACATTTCAATTGAAATGAAACTCGCAAAAGTATTTTAAAAGCCCTAAAGCAGTATGACCTATTTTTATGACTTAATGGTATTTTAATACTTTATCTATATTAGTAATTTTGTATTATTTTTTTCTAATGTACATAGCTAATGTTATAAGGCGATAAAAATAAAGAAAAGAAAAAAGAACTCCAATTTCACTATAGGTGAAATTTTATAGGTTTTACTTTAAATTTCATTTCTAATTCCTTTATTAAAACTTTATTTGTTTCATTAGTTATTTAAAAAATTTATAAAATTAGGAGAAGTGCACATCACAAACTCGTACGTACACCGTACACCGTACTCGTACGTACACCTGTTTTGTGCGTCAAAAAATAACTTTTCAAACGCACAAAACAGACGACCACATATGGTTCCAGAATATTTTGATAGTTATGTAGACATCGATTTGTTAGCCTTCACCTTATTCAAAAATCTTGGAATTTATTGAAGAGAAGTACTCAAGTATAAATGGGGTATGTCGGTTTATTAATATCACTGTATAAATAAATTTCAGTTAATTATATAGATTAAGGTGTGTGTATTTAATTTAATTAGGGCAAAGCACACTAGGGCTATCTGCCTAAGAGGAGGGAATGCCTTCGTGGAGGACTTTCTAAGGGAAACTGGCTCGTACACACGTTACACATGAGGAAAACCACGAAAACGCCCATGCAGCCAGCCCGTTCGCGGGATTCGAACCTCGGACTGAACTACCAGTGTTCAGCGACTTTACCGCTCGGCCTCTGGTGGGCCATACAGATTAAGGAGAAGAAGGAAAAGAAGGGAGCATTTTATCTTATAAATCATTTCCGGAAATACTGAAAGTGAAAAATATTTTAAAATCTAAAAAGAGCTTGGAGCAAGCAACGAGGAAGGACGCCATCACGCCGAGCTCTTGGTTTTGCCCAATTTTCAGTGCAAGTTTTTGAGTGCGATGTGTGTATTATATATCAAAATGTGCGTGAATATCTCCTGCATCCTTGGATACATCGTTTAAGTGTATGTGAGTGATATTTCTCCAGATTTTTGTGTTTTAGTGCTTCTAACAAAAGAAAATAGGCAGTCGCAATTTACCGTGTTTTTGTTCACCACTTCTGCCGCTACAGCAACGGAAGGGTCCCGCCTAGCTACCACGTGGTTCCCCTGGTAGGCCTAGGAAATCGGCCAAATATTCCATGTCCAGAAATTAGTTTTTAATTAAAATATATGTATATATCTTCGGATCCATTGCAATCAGGAATTTCAAGAACTGGTTTTTTTTTTTTTTTTCAAAATGTTTAACATTTTTACAGGATTTGCATAGTGTTTTTAATTCCATCGTTTTCATCTTCAGTTTCGACATTATAGCTCTCGTCGTCGAATAACTTTTCGATAACTTTGAACACTATTCGACAAACTCTAAAAATTTAGTTTTAAAGCTCTAGTTGCGTGCTTTTGATGTGTTTTACATGAGAACTGATCTTTATGCACTCTGTATTTTACCTTTAATTACTTGCAATGTTTATTTAATCTTTTAATTACTGTATTAATTGCTGTATTTTAATTACTTGTATTTTTATGTTTCTACTTGCACTTAAAAATCAGTCAGTTTGATTGTATTTAGAGAATTTTTAGTCATAGTTCATCTGTTAATTATGTTTAGTATCTTACTTATTCTACTACATGTTTTAATTACTGTAATTTCTTGTTACTGGGTGTGAAAGGGACCTATTGTTACCAAATTTTTTATCATATATTGGTTGTTATACAGCAATAAGCAATAGCTATTTTACGTTAAGTATTTGATAAAGAGTTACACTACGAGTGTGATAATTTGCAACTCTGAGAAAGTTCTTGGACAGCATGTCCTGTCAATCAGTGATTCCAACTGACGGTGATTCCGCGCATTCACAAAGTGACGTAGACGCCACTAATTTATTGACCTCTGATTTGCCTTACGCAGAGAAAGTAGCTATTTTGTGTGAGGATATTAGACAGGTAGCGGCCACCACCAGAAGTACTAAATATCTTTTACCTACAGTTCTTCGCACCAGACTATTAGACTCCCTGGTTGCGTTGCAGACGCTGGCCTTACAAGGTGCAGAATTAGCAGCCAAGCCAACAAAGATAGACACAGGTGTTAATACATCAACAGTGCTTTGCTGTGAATTGGCTCGCTCTCAGCCTCTACCGATAGCACACAACAACCACCTGATTTACAGGCACCTCCACCTTTGCCAACAGCTTCTCGACCAACTTTTGCAGAGATTATAAAGAAACATAAGAATCCAAGTCTATACATACGTCCCAAAGCGGACGTCACAGAGACTGAGCTAAAGGCGCAGCTAAACGCTAAAGTACCACTTTCCAAGCTACAGGCAGGTATAGAAAGAATTTCTAAGCTCAACAAAGGAGGTTTCGAGGTTGTCTGTAAATCCACTGAAGATGTCGAAATCCTCGAACAACAGCTTCAACAACAAGATATCCCAGCGGAAGTCACCCGTCCATGGAAACGTAAGCCAAGATGCACCGTCCATGACTTGCCGGTATCCACACAATCAGAAGAAGTACTCGCAGAACTCAGCGGCGTCACTGGAATGCCTAGCACCACCTTTAAACCCCTATTCCGATTACAA